TCAGCCGGTGCGTCTGCGGAGGAGCCGGGGGTGAGGCGGTGAGACCCAAGGCCGGCCACACGCACCACGCGCTGGTCCCAGGGAGGGACCCAGTGGGACTCCAGGCCTCAGGTGTGCTCTGTGGCTCTACTGCTCCGAGTCCAACTCCCTCGCCCACACGCCAGGGTTGTGGGAAACAGCATTTCATGCTGTTAGGACACCACTGGCACCAAGTCGCCCTCAGAAGACGGTGGCCAACTAGCAAGGACAAACCCGCTCCTCTGCAGGGAGCGCCTGCAGCCCCACACCGCTCGCTGCCTGGGTACCTCCCTGCACCCCCACACCAGCAGCGGCAGCGACAGTGGCAGGGACAGATGGTCACAGCCATGTCCAACGCCAGGTGTGTGACCAGCTCTCTGTGCGCGTGGGCAACGTGGATTCCGAGGGACCCACTGACCCTCCGTCTGGCTCTGTGGCCTCACAGCGCCTGGGAGCTCCCAGAGGGCCGGTGAGAGCCCGCCCGCCAGCCGGTGTCGGGCAGCTACAGGCCTCAGGAGCCTCTGGCTCGGGGTTCCTGTGGGTCACAGGACAGCGGGTGCTGGTCCCCAAGAGATGCCTGTGCGCAGTGACACTGAGTCCAGGGTCCGGACCCCTCACACATCTAAAACACAAACACTACTGAGCTGACCTCCACCAGCCAGTGGGAAGCAGGGCCCCTGGGCAGCCACGCAGGGCCCCCCCACCTGGTGCAGGCGCTTCTCCAGGAAGCTGAGGAGGGCGCCCATCACATCCATGTTCACGCCCAGGAACTCCAGGGAGCCTTTGCGTGGCTCCAGGGCCAGCAGGACGTCCAGACACTTGACGGGCAGGTTCCCCAGGAGGTTCACTGCGTGGCTGGGGACAGAGGGAGGGGACTGGGTAAGCCCAGGCCCCTGTGCAGCACGGCTCTCGGTGCACCTGCTGGGGCTACATGTGACACGAGCCAGCAACCAGGGCCCTAAGGAGCCTCACGGGACCGGGGCTGAAGGGGGGACTGGTCTCAGGGGCGCACTCGGGGAGGGTCCCCGAGGAGGGCGCGCCGCCTGCCACCCTGTTTGGGCTGAAGCATCCCAGGCGATCTCCGGAAGCCAGCACTGGCCTGAGCGCTGGTCACTGGCAAGTGGGGAGACCAGACCTTCCACTGCCACTGCCCAGGGCTCCGCGGCACAGCCCTGCCCCTCCCCTGGGCTTCTCTCTCAGCCTTTCTGGAAACCCCTGATGCTGGTCCCCCCCAGACGGGTGTGGGTGCTCTAGGGCGAGCTGGGACCACCGTCCAGACAGGTGACGGCCCCTCCCTCCAGCAGACGGGCCCGCCTCACCCGTGGAACTCCTCCGTGCGGTCCCCAGCAGAGGCCACCATCACGCAGTGCCGCAGCAGAGTCCCCAGGTGCCGGTAAAGGGCAGCATCGTCCTGACCAGAGAGAAGGGGGCTCCTGTGGCAGAGAGCCACACCCGTCCCCTGCTGCCAGCGAGGTCCTGCTGCCTGGGCCACGCGTGCTGTCTCCTCTAACGTACTCCCCCCCGCCCCGCCCGCCGCAAGAACAGCCATGGGTTCCTTGAATGACATCACACTGCGTAGGGAAGTTGCCGGCAGCCTCTCGCCACACAGCCTCCCCCGCCCTCAGGAACCTCCCTTGCTGCGGGCTGAGCGTCCTGTCCGAGGCTGACACCCGACACGTGAGGGTGCCCCTCAGCGCGGCAGGTCCAGGAGGCACCAGCCACGGACGCAGGGCGGCCCTCACCTCGTCCACTTCCCTCCTGACGGAGTCGAACGTGATGTTGAAGAGCACCTTGAGGACCTCCATGGCCCGCTCCGTCTGCTGGGGAGGGAGGCGCTCTGGGGGGCTCCGGCCCGGGGCCACGCCCAGCGTCAGCTGCAAGGCCTGGGTGAGCAGGGGCACGCCCTGCAGCTCCTGGAACAGCTGCTGGCGCACCTCGGGGCGGAGTGCCGTGAGCAGGAACAGGAGGCGCAGGTCAAACAGCTGGACCTCGTGGGGACCTCCATGGCCCGCTCCGTCTGCTGGGGAGGGAGGCGCTCTGGGGGGCTCCGGCCCGGGGCCACGCCCAGCGTCAGCTGCAAGGCCTGGGTGAGCAGGGGCACGCCCTGCAGCTCCTGGAACAGCTGCTGGCGCACCTCGGGGCGGAGTGCCGTGAGCAGGAACAGGAGGCGCAGGTCAAACAGCTGGACCTCGTGGGGGACTGTAGGACCCGCCCTGCGGTGCCTCCTAGTCTCACCAGGTGTAAGCTGGGCTGTGATCTCAGGGGTTGAGTTGCTGCCCAGGAGGCAGTGCCGGGCCGCGGCTGGCTGCTCCCGCCCTGCTGGCGTCAGCTAGTGGCGCAGCGGCAGCGTTTGTGGACAGAACGCTTCGCTTTAGTGTCTGTGCCGCTGACCCTGCTGCCCAGGGGTCTCCAGGTCACCGACGGCCCTCTCCTCTGTCCAGCTCAGCGGCCGGGACAGATAGGGCGCCGGCCCCTCGCAGAACCGGGTGCACGGAGTCACCTCGCGTTTCCGAGCAGACCAGACCTCCTGCCTGACGGACAGCGTGGGCAGGTGTGCGAAGTTCGGCCCAGAACATGGACCGGGGGGCGGAGCATGGTCCCTGGCACCGTTCCGCCCTGTTCCTGCTGCGCTGCCCCTCGGTGTACGGAGTCCTGCCCACCCTGCAGGTCCCTCTGCACTTGCCGAG